CAACTCCACTGGATAGTTCACCTTGTTGAATGAATCATTTCACGTTTTGATCATGAAAATTATATACTGGGATATAAAATAGAATGATCAATTAAAAAAGCCATTTCAAAAAAGAAAATTGAATATTATATTATGCCATAGACGGTGAACTAATTTACTATTAACACAGCTTAGAATTATACAATTAATCTGCCAATTAATAACACAGCTGTCTGAAGAGCGTATACTGTAATAGTTTTTTCCATAAAAATGGACTTGTGGTATCCGTAAATAATTCGTTTTCGCGAGTTAGAAACAATAGAATTTGACGAAACTTATGAAAAAGCGTCCTAACAATTTTTCCAGCTGGGTTATAGCGCCCTCTCTGGTATGTTGTGATTAGCATCGCATTGTCGTACGCGAGGGACCAAATGCTATGACACAGACTTTCTCTTCAAGTTATCAGCGCTTATCAGTCAAGCTCAGCTGTTTGTGTTAATAACATACCGTAACGGTAAAAGTAGAGGTGTGAGTGGTTATATACGGACAGTTGTGATGAGCTCTCTCATTGCGTGATTATTTGAAACAGATTTGTTCATATTGGACTATATTTAAATATTTTATTTTGGGTAAATTTTTCAAATTGTTTTTATTGCGCAAATAAATAGGACAAGTTCAAGTTGGTTATTGAAGTGTCGAAGTTTGGAATTTTGAAGAGAAAAATATGGAACACATGAAATTTTATAATAATTGTTTGTTTCTGAGTCGGCGATTCCCGCGTCGTCGGTTGCCACGCTCTCTTGTGGTGGTTCCTGACAACGCCGTCTCCCGGGCTCCGTCTTTCACCGGAGAAAATGATTAATGTAAAGTCAATGCCTTCAAGTTAACACGTTCGTTGACATGCAGAAATTCCTAATTCTCTTATGATGTATATATCGCGTAACGTACCTGATCAAAATAATGGTCCCTATTTACAGTTTTAATTAATTGATTATTTAAAACTATAACACCAGAGAGTACACAGCATATTAACAACAACAACAACAATTAATGTGACAAATTATTCGAAAAGACATATTATTTGTTGGTGTTCAATATGTGTGTATATTTTAGCGCATACAGCAATCGATACCACTAGTATATCAAACTAAAAACGTTCATGTTAGTTCCATGTTTCAATCAATGAACCAATTTGAGACAATCCCATTTTCTTTTAATTCAATGCTGTACACCGATTTCCTCCCAGAAGTGTGTACGGTAGCCCTGAATTTTACCATGGAAGGTACTAACGTTTATAGTACCTTTCATGATTGGACCATGGTCGTTCCATGATTGGACACAGTAGTTGTGAATGCATATTATTTTCACTTGCGCCCTCAACGTCCATATTGTGATTGCACCTTTTTCAGTATTATGATATTTTATACCGGTCATTCGTTTCTTGAAAACACGTTATAGTGCATTTACTTTGAATTTTGGCGATAGTTTGCCAACTATTTTCAAGTTATAGATATATATGTTAATTTTTTGAGTGAGCGAATTTATAATTATTTGCCTTTTTTGCATGATATTGTAATTGTTTTTAACGACGAACTTGCGTTCTATAAATATAAAAGATGATTATCTTAAATCTCGATTTGTGGTTATTGTCAACATTGCGATCGACGGTAAGTGTTATTATTATCTTATTAAAATCTGCAATAATTACTGACGCATTTTAGAGGCAAAATATTAAAAATATTATAATGTTCAAGTCTTACTAAGTTATTTTTATTGACAGTGTGTACAATGTATATATTGACCACCTTGAATCGCGACGGACATAGATTTGAGAAATTCAATTTACTGACAATACTGTTCTGGTTCAGATCACCGGCGCACGGAGCATTTCTTGGATAATAAAAAATGACCTAAAGTAGGGTCGGTATACGTAGTCA